AGGATTCAAATGAATCAATGAAGAAATAGCAGAACTTTTGTACTAGATCTCTGGGAAAAAAGGAGTCATGTAAACCTAAGAAAAATGGAGCTGGCTGTTTCAAGCGCATCCAGGAAATATAAAGGTAAAAAAATTGTTTGGTGTTGTTATTAAATGTACTTATTAAAAGTAATCCCACTATCCAGTTTGCTAAATGGAACATTCAGAAGGACTCTGAAATGTTACATTTCCCTCCTGGGCAATGCTGATCTGAATGTTCTGACCCGTGGTTGTCCAGACAATTTAGTTCTAGAACATTTTAAAACCAGAATGGTTGGGTTGATTTGGTCCTAGAGGAAACAACAGCATATTGGAGTTCTTTGGAATCAAATGCTTTGCATTTCTCTATATAATGACTTTGTTGGAGACTGTACCATAGATCATCCTGGAGCAAATTCTGCCTCTCCCAGGAGCTCATGGGATAACACAACTTTATGGATAAAGACTAAAATGTGCAGTATGAGTTATCTGCTCAACCTTGTTTTAAAGATTTTGGAAAGGTTGCACCACTTTTCTTTGGGGTTAAAGAATTAGAGGTAATATTAAAAGCTTCAAGTTGAAGTCAATTTTTTTAAAATTTTCAATGGATCAATGCACTTTGAGAAAATGTGGGTGGAAAACTTGGAAATTCTAGTCGAGATTGATGAAATTGATTCATAAAGCTGCTGAGGTGAATGCATTTATAGCAAATTGACTGAAAAGACAGTTCCAAGAAAATCATTATTCAATGTTTTTTCCTTAAATGTTCTGTGCTGATAACTGTAGCAGTAAATGGAGAAGGATACAAGCCAGTTTGGTTGTGGCTTGTTTGAACTGTCCATAGTTTTGGCAATGTGATGTATTCCAGATGCCTGGGGTTTAAACTCATTAGCTCCAGTCTGTATGGGCACTACCAGGGAAGTTTCCCACTCTTGATTTAAACTGCTTAGAATTTGTGTAAGCTTGCACCTGGTAAGAACCATATGGCATTCGTTGAAAGCAAAGCTTTAATTTACTNAGGATTCAAATGAATCAATGAAGAAATAGCAGAACTTTTGTACTAGATCTCTGGGAAAAAAGGAGTCATGTAAACCTAAGAAAAATGGAGCTGGCTGTTTCAAGCGCATCCAGGAAATATAAAGGTAAAAAAATTGTTTGGTGTTGTTATTAAATGTACTTATTAAAAGTAATCCCACTATCCAGTTTGCTAAATGGAATATTCAGAAGGACTCTGAAATGTTACATGTCCCTCCTGGGCACTGCTGATCTGAATGTTCTGACTTGTGGTTGTCCAAACAATTTAGTTCTAGAACATTTTAAAACCAGAATGGTTGGGTTGATTTGGTCCTAGAGGAAATAACAGCATATTGGAGTTCTTTGGAATCAAATGCTTTGCATTTCTCTATATAATGACTTTGTTGGAGACTGTACCGTAGAACATCCTGGAGCAAATTCTGCCTCTCCCAGGAGCTCATGGGATAACACAACTTTACGGATAAAGACTAAAATGTGCAGTATGAGAATTATCTGGTCAACCTTCTTTTAAAGATTTTGGAAAGGTTGCACCACTTTTCTTTGGGGTTAAAGAATGAGAGGTAATATTAAAAGCTTCAAGTTGAAGTCAAATTTTTTAAAATTTTCAATGGATCAATGCACTTTGAGAAAATGTGGGTGGAAAACTTGGAAATTCTAGTCGAGGTTGATGAAATTGATTCATAAAGCTGCTGAGGTGAATGCATTTATTGCAAATTGACTGAAAAGACAGTTCCAAGAAAATCATTATTCAACGTTTTTTCCTTAAATGTTCTATGCTGATAACTAGCAGTAAATAGAGAAGGATACAAGCCAGTTTGGTTGTGGCTTGTTTGAACTGTCCATAGTTTTGGCAATGTCATGTATTCCAGATGCCTGGGCTTTAAACTCATTAGCTCCAGTCAGTATGGGCAGTACCAGGGAAGTTTCCCACTCTTGATTTAAACTGCTTAGAATTTGTGTAAGCTTGCACCTGGTAAGAACCATACGGCATTCACTGAAAGCAAAGCTTTAATTTACACATAAGAAAAAGAGTAAGAAATTAAAGAGCCTGGGGCTCATATTGTACTAAACTGGTGCAGTGTTGCAAATAAAATAACCTCGGTTATAAAGTGAATTGTGCTACTACTAGGAGCGGGGAAAACTTCGAAACAAGGAAGTTACAGTTATGGTTGCAAATACTCTGAAAATCCTCCCTTCTCTGGTGTGTCTTTAGAGCTGATGTGTATGATGACTAAAGCTTTTTTCCCCATCAGAGCGATACTGTTGATCTTACTGTATTAGCCAGTTCTTGTCTGATTCATCAGCTGGGGTGCTTGCTTATTCTTCAGGCAGACTAGCCTATAATGTAATTGCTAGGTCTTGTGTCATTTTAGGATTCAAATGAATCAATGAAGAAATAGCAGAACTTTTGTACTAGATCTCTGGGAAAAAAGGAGTCATGTAAACCTAAGAAAAATGGAGCTGGCTGTTTCAAGCGCATCCAGGAAATATAAAGGTAAAAAAATTGTTTGGTGTTGTTATTAAATGTACTTATTAAAAGTAATCCCACTATCCAGNAAACTTCGAAACAAGGAAGTTACAGTTATGGTTGCAAATACCCTGAAAATCCTCCCTTCTCTGGTGTGTCTTTAGAGCTGATGTGTATGATGACTAAAGCTTTTTTCCCCATCAGAGCGATACTGTTGACCTTACTGTATTAGCCAGTTCTTGTCTGATACATCAGCTGGGGTGCTTGCTTATTCTTCAGGAAGACTAGCCAATAATGTAATTGCTAGGTCTTGTGTCATTTTAGGATTCAAATGAATCAATGAAGAAATAGCAGAACTTTTGTACTAGATGTATGAAAAAAAGGAGTCATGTAAACCTAAGAAAAATGGAGCTGGCTGTTTCAAGCGCATCCAGGAAATATAAAGGTAAAAAAATTGTTTTGTGTTGTTATTAAATGTACTTATTAAAAGTAATCCCACTATCGGCCGATCTTCTTCTTCACCGGCCCTCGGAGATCGTCCGGACAGCTGGAGGAGCCGCCGCTCCTCTGCAGCCGGATAGGGGCCTCCTCGACGGAAGTCGCACCCTCCAGGGCGACTTTGGACCCGTATAAGGGTCCGCCGACGAAGGGAAAGCTAGCCGACGAGGAGACAAGTCTCCCCGTGCGACTAGTGACGCCGCGAACCGGAACCGGAAGTGCAGTGTTGCATATAAAATAACCTCAGTTATAAAGTGAATTGTGCTACTTTGATCTAGGAGCTTGACTGCAGTTGCCAGAGTTGTATGGTTTTTAAAAATGCCACAGAATTTAATCAGACTGTAATTGAAAGAATCAAAATATAACAGCTATTCTATGTGATTGTCTCCTATCAAGTGTGCTTGAAAGTCAAGTACTCTTAAGACAAAGGGACTGCAAAACATGTAGCTCAGTGGAGTATGATGACTTTTGTTAACGTCGTATCGACTATGCTGATCAAGCATGTCTGATTCTACTGATGCCCAAGTCTTCATGTTGCACATTTTATATTTGGAGCCAGATGTAAATCTTAATTCATGTGGCTTGTTTTTCAGGAGTGTTGTGCTTAGCTTGAAGCGCTGGTGATAAAAGAAGCTGCATCACATTTTGCTGTGATTGCTACTCCAGAAAGGTTTGTTTTACTTAGCATACAAATGTTCATACCTTATTTATATAATTACTTTGGAACAAATGTACATTATATCTGTAAAGTATCCACTGTATGTTTGATGGGCTACCGTATCTCATCATGGAGGGAAGCATATAGATAATGGTGCTTTTTCTCTTAGTGATCTATAATAACTCTAGCACTGCACATAACCTGGGCTGAGATATTTTGCTAAACTACTTTTTGTACTGTTTTTAGACAAACTTGATCTGTAAACAAAGCTGATGTGTATAATTCAACAAACTGCTTGAATGAGCCATGCATATGGGAATTGAGCACTAAGTTGTTAGTGGAAAGGATTTAGGGTTTTTATTCAATTCTGCTGCCTTAAACCCATACTGAACATTTTTTCTTCTTTAACAGATTCCCAACTGCCATGTGATGCTTACAAGAGCAGCGTGAGATTGACTGGCTGGAAAATAATTTAAATTCAGTAGTGCTAATGCTCAATAAATACATTATTTGCACTGTAGCAACATTAACTGGTATGAATCCTCAGTGATAGAACAAAAACAGTTTTTCTTCTCTACAGAGACAGTCTCTCAGTTCATGGGTTCACAACTGGCCCTGTATGAGCAGGGTATGTAGTAGTTTGTTGGGATAGTTAACAAAGGGTGTATCTTGGTAGGACAGTTTGTGCTGTTGTACACCTACAGATTTATGACATCACCAGGTAACTGGAACAAGTAAAAATGATCTCTCGTTTCTTAAATTTATTAGATTTATATCTTTCATTCAGGAGCTCAAGAAACTTTCATTTTCTCCCACAGCATTGAGTGTTGTATGTTAGACTGAGAATGATTGGCCCAAAGTCAACCATTGAGCTTCTGGAAAAAGTGGGCTAGAACTTTGCTTTCCCCGGTGCCAACTCAGTATCTGAATCTGTGTATACAACGAGCTCTCTTTTGGGTTACATAGCTAATACAGCACACGTAGCTAGTAACCAAGAACTGTAGGAGGGAATATTGAAAGGACAGTATTTGCATATTAAGCTGGAGTGGTGTCCTGTTGTAGATCATTGATAGTCAAGGTTGAGAGATAACATTTATTCCAATTTATATAGCTACCCATCTCATATTGGGCAACTTATAGACAGGCGTCAAGTTTGCCCAGGTGACTTGAGAAAGGTTTCCTGCTTTTTGTCTCCTGATGAGCCAGCTTGTCACACTGCATGGCAGATACCCAAAGGTTGGACTATTTGTGTTCCTAGAAGAACATGTGTGCTTGTGCTCTGCACTAGTCATATGCTGCATTGGGTAATATGGTACACTTGCTGAGAGTGTAGATGTTGTAACCAGCCCTCTGGGTATGAGGATGATTGGAACTTAATTGCCATTCATGTTCACAAAGAAGTTAGCAAAATAAGACCTGGTATGTTTTTACATACATGCAGCCAATGCAATCAGAGTGGATTATAAGGTGAGTCAAGCATTGGACTGAGTTAAATGCATCCTTAGTGTTTGTTCCAGCCTTAGTGAATGCAATGTTAAACGCCTCCTTAATGAAGTAGCAAACTTCAGTTTGTCTAATTCTAAAACAGCTGTATAAGGATAGTTAATATTGGCTTTCCCTTATACAATTTGAATTTTATACCCTGCCTTTGATGGAAGACTTAAGAGTGGTTTAATAATATACAAAAATCTACTGCACAGCAATCCAACAACTTTTAATTTTTCATAAGCATAGACACATCAGATTTGTGATCTTCCTAGTACACAAGTCACAAATATTCAGTTGTCTCTTAGCTGAAAAGTTTCTCTTGTCTAATGCTGATATTCACAATTTATTGCTTTCCAAATTCCCATCTTTGCTTATAAGTAGGTATTATTTAAATGTATTCTAGAAAATTTAGCTCTCCTTCACAAGATTTTGCCCCTCAAGGTAGGTCAAGATTAATTTGTCAACATCTACATCAATGATTAAAGTTCACCTAATGTGATGTTTCTCATCCTTAGCAATTTTTAAAATGTGTGAACTTCAAGTCTCAGAATTCCAGGACACTGGCTAGGGAATTATGGGATTTGAAGTTAAGTCATTTTTCCGTAGAAAAGGCAGGATTTAGAGGTAATTTACGACTTTGAAAAGACCTGAAAAATTTTGGAGCTGCTTTTGACTGAATTTGCTTAATTACTGTATGATTCACTTGATAACCATGGCAAAAAAATGGTAAAATTGGGTGTGACTCACTTAACTGCTTTGCTTAGCAACAAGTTATTGAAGACTACCTATAAAAGCGCCTCTAATTTTGTGTGTGTATGTACGTAGGTGCTTGGGGCCTGTTGATATAGATGTGGGAACAAAACGATTCATGCATGTAGATCAAATACAAGGCCTGGGGGCCGGATGCGGCCGGCGAAGTGGTTTCATGTGGCCCGCAAACCCATCCTGGAAACTGAGGGAAGGGGCCCACAGTGAGGCTCCTCCAGTGGACCATGCCTTGGCAATTGCCCCGGTCCCACCCCCTTCTGCCAGAGACCCTCAGATCTGTCCCACTCCTGCCCAGGCCCCCACAGCCACCCTTGACGGGAACGATGTAGAGCTGGCCATGCCCACTCAGTAGGCCACACACACTCCCATCCACGCCCATCCAGTAGGCTGCACCCACCCTGGTCACACCTACCCGGTCCCCCAAGGGCAACCCACAATGCTGATGCAGCCCTCAATGAAATTGAGTTTGACACCCCTGATATAGATACTTTGTAAGGAAAAGTTAAAATAATTACATTCACACAAGCATATGCTTAAATAAATTTAGTTACATGAGCATGTACCTCTTACATCAGACAAAATTCAGTGGGTTTGCTTTTCTGTGGCTTCATCTTAAAAACCTGAATTAAAAAAGACAGCTTAATTGTGCCCCAATATGTATTAAACAATTAAGACAAATCCCAAAGATCTGTATTTGTTCTGGTTTTCCATTTTGTGTTAAAGACTTCAGAGGGTGCTGCTTTCCCACTTTTTGCTCTGATGCAAAGAGCATTTACATCAAACAGTTCACTATTCCACATGCATTTTACTTTTCACTTGAATGGGAGACATAATTAGTTTACAGATAACATTTTTGTTTTTGCTTTATATTAATGGGAGGAACACACCCATTTACCACATGTCCTTTAAAATGCAGAATGAAAGCTATTTTAGGTTTCAATGGATAATTCAAAGCTATTCTATCTCCCTGGAAGAGTTACTTTACACCAGAGGGCCCAGTCAACTTTATAGTGGCCTTTAAAGCATGTTATCTATGCTAATGAGTCAAGAACCACATCTTTCTGATTTACTGGAAGCATACTCTTTGTGGAATCTCATAAACCCATGCCTTGGGAGTTTTATCTGCAAGGTTTGATGGCAAATCTGGTCATTGATCAGCAGACTAATGGTAGAAAGTGGCTCAGGAATTCTGGGTGTTCATAAAATTCCACAGTTCATAAAAGAACCATAGTTCCCCACCTCTGCTCTAGGGAATTGGGTCACTTAGCAAATTGCAGCCTCCTGCCTCACCCCATGGTAATCTTCATGTCAGAAATTGATATTGAAGCCCAAAGTGAACAGAAGAGATCAATTTGCTGAGTGACCTGGTTTCCTAGAACAGTGGAGAGTTATGGTCCTTTTAGGACCTCTGGATTTCAACTCCCAGAATTCTTGAGTCAGTGTGGCTGGCTTAGGAATTCTGGGAGTTGAAGTCCACACGTCATAAAGGGGCCTAGTTCTTCACGTCATTCAGCAATTTGCAGCCTCCTCCCTCACCTCATGGTAATCTTCATGTCATCTTGCTTAGAAATCATTACTGAAACCCAAAGTGAGCAGAGATGTCTCCTGGGTGAATTTCTTTGCTATGTTCACCATGGTTAAAACAACTACAAGCCTTTCAAATTTCTCAGCACTAAAACGTTTATGAAGAGCTAAATAAAGGGGAGGAGGGGGATTTCTGAGTATGACAAAAAGCACATTTCTCAAGTGTTTTTAATTGTGCGGGACTTCCTGCATTTGTTAGCATCTCTGAAAATGCCTTGCCCATTTCCATCCTTGTTGCTATTTTTCTGAACCTCTCCTTAGTGCACGTTTCCTACAAAGGGTGGTGGTGATAGAATTAAATAAGTTTACAATCCACTCTAAATATTTAATCAACTTCAATTTAAAAGTTAAGAAAGTGTGCTTTTGCTTTTTGGTAGCTTTTCAGCATTTCACCCAGTTAGGATATTTCCCAGATAGATAGGTAGATACACGGGGGGGGGGGG